ATATGTCCTCATCACCCTGCTGCTGCTCATCCTCCTTCGCATCATCATCACCATCATCATGATCAACGCCACCACCCACATCATCATCATCATCATCATCAACAACAACAGCAGCACCAACATCCGAATCATCAGACGCATCGGCATTGTAATCATCAGTACCATCACCACAAACATCACAATCACCATCATCCGCATCATAATCTTCATCATCAGCATCAGCATCAACATACTCGTGATCATTATCTTCATCATCACCATGGTCACCATCACCATCACACCATCATCAGTATCACCATTGTCATCTTCCGTATACCATGGGCATCATCATCATCATCAACATCACCATTGTCATCATCATCGGTAATACCAGCATCGTCAGCATCCTCAACGTCAACAGCATCAGCATCCTCCTCATCGCCAGGGTAATCATCAACAGTGTCATTATCGTCGGCATCATCACCATTACCACTATCACCATCACCATCATGACCATCAACAACATCATGATCACCATCAGCACCGTCATCATTATCAGCATCATCTCAAGAACCATCATCATATTTACAATCACCAACATCATCATCACCACAATCAACATCATCATCAACATCATCGGCACCATCATCGTCATCATCATCCGCATCAGCATCATCATCATCATCATCACCATCATCATCACCACCGTAATCATCACCAGCATCATCATCAACATCATCATCAATCCTCATCATTATCATAAGCACCATCACTATCGGCATCATCATTACCATCATCACCACCACCATCACCATCACTATCATCATCATCATCATCAGCATCATCATTTCATCGTCATTGCATTCGTCATCAGCATCAAGCATCATCATATTTACCGCCAGCATCATCATCAGTATCGTCGACATCAACAGCATCATTATCATCAGCATCATCATCACCAGTACCATCACCATCATCAACACAATCGTCATCACCATCACCACTATCACCATCAGCATCATCAACATCATTATGTTCAATATCATTGCCATCGTATTCAGCAGCATCAGCTCCATCATCACCATGACCACTAGCATCAACAACATCAACATGATCACCATCACTATTATCATTACCATCCTCATCATTTTCATTACCGTCAGCATCATCATCACCATCATCAACAACATCATCACCACTAGCATCACCCTGATAATCAACAGCATCGTCATCATCGTCACCCGCATCCTGAACCCTCATCATCAGCATCATCAGCATCATCATCACCATCACAATCATCATCCTTATCACCATAACCATCGCAATCATCATCACCACCATCATCATTACCATCATCATCATCATCATCATCATCATCATCATCATCATCGTCCGCATCATTTTTGTCATCATCATTGCAATCATCATCATCACCATCATCGCCATCATCATCAGCATCACAATCAACACCAACAGCATACTCTTCATCATCAGAAGCATAATCAGAAGCATCACTATTAGTATCACCAATATCATCACCATCAGCACCATCACCTTTACCATCATCATCATCATCATCATCACCATAAGCATAATCATCATCATCATCATCATCATCATCATCATCATCATCATCATTATCAGTTTCATCACCTTTTTATCATAATCGCCATCATACTCATCAGCAGCACCATCATCACCACCATCATCACCATCATTCCCATCAGCAGCCTCATTAGCACCACCAGCATCATCATCATCACCATCGTCACCATCACCATCAACATCAACATCATCACCATAATCACCATCATCATCACCATCATCACCATCAGCATCCTCATCATTATCATCAGCATCAGCAGCAGCACCATCATCATCATCACCATCATCATCAGCATCATCATTAACAGCATCAGCAACATCATCACCATCACCATCACCAACACCATCACCATCATCATCATCACGGTCATCATGTTCATCTTGATTGTCATCACAAACATCATCAATAGCATCACCATCATCATCAACATCGTGATCATCAGAGCCAACACGCTCATCATCAGCATCATCTTCAGCATCAGTTTCACCATCACCATCACTTTAATCACAATCACCATCATCAACATCGTCATCATCAGCATCAACATCATCATTACCACCAGTATCACACCAGCATCATCATCACCATCATTATCATCATTAGTATCATCATCATCATTAGTATCATCATCATCATCATCGTCATCATCAGCGTCATCATCATCAGCATCATCAACATCAACATCAACATCAACATCAACATCAACATCAGCATAATCAGCAACATCATTCTCATCACCATCACCATTACCGTCATCATCATCAACATTATCATCAACATCATCATCACCGTCACCATGTTCATCTTCATTGTCATCACCACCATCATCATCATCATCAGCATCATCATCAGCGCCATCACGATCATCATCAGCAGCATCATCAGCATCATCATCATCAGCATCATCACTATCATCACCATCGCCATCATCATCATCATCATCATCATCAGCAACAGCATTTTCACCACCAGCATCATCCTCATATCAGCATCAACATCAATCTCATGTCGGAGAGGCTGTTTATCTCACGCTTTGATCAAGATCATATCGGAGCATCAGTATCCGCATTTGCATCAACATGATATCAAGATTTCTTGGATCTGCGCTTGACCCCCTCCCTGGCGCGCGGGGCGCGCCAGCGCCGGCGGCACCGCCAGGGGGGTCCCACGCGGATCCAAAAAATCCACGAGGATCGCCAACAAAAATATGTTTTTACGGCGTTCTGCCTTCTTCGATTCTCAGGCTCGCCGCGCGCGCCTCCTCTGTCGCACGTCTGGGACGACGCCGTTGGCGCGGGGGCTCGTGGGCGGCCGCAGGGCTCGCCCCCCACGCGTGGCGAGAGGCGTTCAACAGCAAGCCCTCCAGGAGGCAACGGCGCGGGCGACCAGACAGGCCAAGATGCCACGAAAAGGCCACAAAAGAGTAGCAAGAGGTACGATAACAGCAACGAAGCAACAGGAACGATGTCGAGCGCCGTGTCATGATTCGGACAAGCCTCGTGAGATGCAGTCTTGCAGGCTCAGTAGTTTAGATAGGGGTCGGCGGATGTGGCGTAAGCCTATAGAATAGATGGCGCCTCGATTTTTTCGAGACGCTGGCCCCTGGAACCGGTGTTTCACCCGGGTCGTCTCTTGACGGTCCCGAGGCCTGGCAAGGGCCCCGAGAAACTGAAAACGATGAAAAACCTCCGCCCCGAACTTTTCGAGACGCCGGATGTTTGGGAGTGTGCCGCGGCCTCTGCCGACCCGCCGGGCCGCAGAGAGCTCCGACGCTGCAGGCGCCGCCGGGCACCTCGGGCCGCAGAGCGGCGCTGCTGCCGCCGAGGGCCGGGAGCAGCGCCGCGAGGCGCTCGCGCGGCCTGCGCCGCGGGCGAGGAGGCGGCCGACGGCCGGGCGGCGTCGGCCGCGCGCGTGGGCCCGCCCGCAGCGTGGCGCTCTCGAGGCGTGCCCGGCCGCGGGGGGCGCCGCTCGCCGAGCGGCCGGGGGCCCAGCGGGTCCCGCGAGCGGCCCTCGCGAGGGGGCGCCGCCCGGCGGGCTGCCGTCCTGGAGGCGCTGCCGGGGGGCTGCGTGCAGGCAGGCGGCGCTCGCGGGCGCGGGCGTGGCTGCCCCTGCCGATGGTCGCTGGGCGGGGCCGCCCGGTGGGGGGAAACCGCAAGAAGACGTGCGCGCCCACGGCCCCCCCGAGTCCGCGGGACCTGCCTCGCGATGCGAGCGCGCGCTCGGTGCGCACTCTGGACGCCAGCTTGGACGCATGCGTGTGTGCGTCCTCCCGCAAGGCCCCCCCCGAGGTTACCTTTCCTGGGTGCCCGCGGGTACCTTCCAAGCACCTCTCCTGGGCTGCCCGTAAGTTCCTGTCGCTCCGGAGCGATGGCGCCGATGGCGGCACCATCGGGGGGTGTCAGCTGACCCCCTCGCCGATCCAGCCTAGGCCCGTCGTTTTGGACGCCCGAAATGGGCACGGAAAACATGGGTACAACGCTCAACAAACGTTGCCCAAATCTGACAGCGGCCGCTGTTGGCCAGGCACGCTTGTGTCTCAAATGAACAGCCACCGCCGCGACGCCGACAACGAATCTTGTTCGGAATGAGCAACAATTCCTCCTGGGCCTTGTACCCATCATTTCCGTACCAATTTCGGTCCGTCCGAATCGTGGACCCAAGATTGGCCTCCACGCCCTCCCAGCTTGGCCGGGGAGGCAGAGGCACGCGACGGTCCAGGATGGGCCCAACCATGTTCGGTGAGGTGCTCAGTTGGCCAAGACCTCCTGGCAAGGATATCGCTTTTGATGGGGGAGGATGAGCGGGGGGAGCACGAGGAGGAAAAGGAGGAGGAGGAGGAAGAGGAGGAGGTGGAGGAGGAGGAGGAGGAGGAAGAGGAGGAGCAGCTGGAGGAGGAAGGGGAGGAGGAAGAGGAGGCAAAGGAGGAGGAGGAAAAGCAGGGGGAGGAGGGAGGAGGAGGAGGATGAGGAGGAAAAGGAGGAGGAGGGAGGAGGAGGAGGAGGAGGAGGAGGAGGAGGTGGAAAAGGAGGAGGAGGAGGGGGCGAGGAGGGGGGCCCGATTCCAGATTCGACCGCCGCCGCGCGTGACTGTCAGCCTGGACCCGCGCGCGGCGGGCAAGGAGCGGGACAAAATGGGCAAGGAACGGCGGGGCCGTTTCGAGCGCGGCCCCACTCCCCGCGCATGGCGGAAGAGGGTCGTCCTTGAGACATGGGCCCCCGAGGAACTCGATTTCCTCACCCAGGCGAGTACGCAGTGGACGTGAACCTCTCCGCTGCTGGCTTGATTGGCCCCCGTGGAGAAGCACGAGAAATTATCCCTTTTCCTCCCTTCTCCTGATTCAGTGTCCTCTTCCCTCCCATTGGTCCCCCCCTTCCCTCTCCTGACTCCCCCTTCCGAACCTACGCCCCCTCCAAAGTTCCCGAAGAGCTCCAGACAAACTTCCGCAGATCCTTCTGCTTTTCCCAGGAATAACGGCTGCCCTCTCTTCCCTCTACTGCGCGCTGCTGCGCACTTCTGATCAGGGCGACTCCCCATGGCGACCGCCTTTGGATTGGGTGGTAAGAATACGTTTTTCGGTGCACGGGCGCGCAACACGAGCCGAACGCCGGGCGAGCAGGGGCAGGCTGCGCCACCGGCTAAGGGAAAAACAAAGCAACGAGCGACGCCAAGTGCGGGGCGGGACCCAGCGCGGCCAAAATGGCGCGAGGTCAACGCAAAGCGGCACCAGGAACGCGAAGTTGGCGCCGAGCGGGAAGTCGAAGCAAGTGGACCCAGTGGCGACGACGGATGGAAGCCCGAACGCCACACTTACCCAGGAAGGCGGCGACGGAAGTGGGAAAGACCAGTCGGTTCCCCAGGCAACCTTGCCGAACACGTGGTCCTTGTCCAAGAGGAGCACGACAATGCCGAGAGGAAAACGACCTCCTGGTACTGCGTGAGCGTGTAACCGCCTCCGCGTAGATGAAGGACACTGCGAGGAGGAACGAAGAGGCGGGCTGGCTGCGGCCGCTCCAGCACCTTCCCCAGGGAATGCGGGGGCACCCCACAGTAAGGGCGATGTAGACCATCACGGAGAGGAATACGACCTCCAAATACCACGGAAAGTGCAACCACCTTCGCGTAGATGGGTACCGCGAAAAAAGCACGGAAGACGGACGGGCTGCGGCCGCTCCAGGACCTTCCTCAGAGGAGTCGAGGCCTCCCAGTGCGGGGGCTGCGTTTTTTGATATTATCCCTTCTCCTTGAGCATCGTTTCGCTGACCCCGTATATACCTACGGGCGTGGCCTGGGCCCCACTGGCCGATTTGACCCCCCCTAGATGGGGACACAATCTGCTCCCTTGGGGCCTCCAGGGGCACCTCCCCAAGTGGGATGCTGACATGGTGGGAGTCTGGCCTGAGTGTTGTTTCTGGAATCATGTGGCGCTCCGCGCGGATTTCTTGGATCTGCGCTGGACTCCCCTCCCTGGCGCGCGGAACGCGCCAGGGGCGGCGCCAGAGGCGCCGCTAGGGGGGCCTTGCGCGGATCAACGAAATCCGCGCGGAGCGCCAAAAGCATGTGTTTATGTTTATGCAGATTCTTCTTCTTCGAGTTTCACGCAATACTGACTCCTCCCTCCTCCTGGTTCCCTCTCCTCCTCCTCCTCCTCCTCCTCGTCCTCCTCCTCCTCCACCTCCTCCTCCTCCTCCTCCTCCTGGCCAGCGGCCAGGCGAGGGCGAACCGCCTCCTCGCACTGGGGCCCGCTCTGGCCTCGGCGGGTCCGGGGCTTCCGCCGTTGGGGCCGGCCCAGAGGGCGCCAGTCTGCTCACTTCCTTGCTCTTGCTGCTGCTCCTCCCCCTCCTCCTCCTCTTCCTCCTCCTCCTCCTGCTGCTCCTCCTGCTCCTCCTCATCCTCCTCCGTGTTCTCTTCCTCATCATCATCTTCCTCCTCCTGGACCTCCTCGTCCTCGTCCTCGTCCTCGTCTTCCTCCTCCTCCTTCTCCTCCTCCCCCTCCCCCCCATTCCCCTCCTCCTCTTCCTCCTCCTCTTCCCCTTCTTGCTCATCCTTCCCTGTGTTGCGTTAGGCAAAATTCAAGTGTTATGCTTGTAGCGTTCATCGTCGTCGTCCTCCTCCTCCTCCTCCTCCTCCTCCTCCTCCTCCTCCTCCCCTTCCTCTTCTAAAATCATAATCATATGATTTTCAGGTTTCCGATGATTTGAGAAAGTGCGCGCGGGCAGAATGTATGCAATCTTGTTCGCCATGTGCGCGTTTGGACTGTGTTGTGTTGTTGTGCAAGGGAACACTCAGCAATTGTATATGTATATAAACAGGCGTGCGCGCATGACACTTTTTGGCAAGTATGAGGGGGGCAACCCCGGTTGCCCTGGGATGGCATCGTTGGGCATTTCGGATGAAGCATCGTGCACAAGAGTGCGGGTGGGCAAGCCGACTCCCCTTTTTGCCGGAAAGAGTATGTGGTGTGAGCTATGCACTGCACACGCGGTGCGGCCACGAGGCGGCCACGGGGCGGCCACGTGGCGACACCTCGCTGGACCGACCCCGCCGCCCGAGGCGGCCACCGAGGCGGCCACGAGGCGGCCACGGGCGACCACCTCGCCGGACCCACCCGACACGCGAGGCGGCCACGGGTCACAGGCCGGCGGCGCGACGAAATCTCGCCGAAGCGCCCAAGCGCACGAGGCGGCCACGAGGCGGCCACGGGCGGCAGCGTGGCGAAGCCCAGCGGACCAATCGGCCACGAGGCGGCCACGAGGCGGCCACGGGCTGCCACGCGGCGAAGCCTCGCCGGGCCCACCCAGCACACGAGGCGGCCACGGGGCGGCAACGTGGCGAGACCTCCACGGCTCGAACCAGCGCCCGAGGCGGCCACAAGGCGGCCACGGGCAGCAGCGCGGCGAAACCCAGCGGACCCAGCGGCCGCGAGGCGGCCACGGGCGGCGACGTGGCGCAATCTCGCGGCACCTATCCAATCAGCGCACGAGGCGGCCACGGGCGGCAACCTGGAAAATCCTCGCCACACCGTCCAATTTCTGAAAGGTCCCAAGAGGCCGAAAAGAGCCCCCCCGATGCTCCCAAACGGTCTCCAGAAGGCCTCCTAAAAGCCTCACCTGGAATCGGCGATGCGTCGCCGACAGATGGCGATAGGCCCTATCTATCGGCGATCAAGCAGCGATTGGGGTCGATGCATCCCCCCCTCAGCCTATCCCCCCCAAACACTGCCCCCTGGCTTTCCGATCATATCTCCGCTCTCTGGTGGCCGTTCGGGAGGATCTGCGGGAACATCGCCGTGGACCGCCGGAAACGCCCGACAGCCTCGCACCTCGTGCCCGAAACATTCTCCCTCTCAGCCTCTCCCCCCCTGCCGCTGCCCCCGAGATGCAGCTGGACCTCTGGGACAGAAAACCTCGGGGCCCAGCGCGCGGCCGAGGCGCGCGCCCGGCGGGCCGCCGCCGGGCGGCGGCGGCGGCTGCCGCGGCCCGAGCGAGCACGGCGGGGACTGCGCGGAGGCCAAGGCGGCGGAGGCCGGGGGCCCGGCGCTGCCGGAGGCGGCTCCTGCGGGCCGGCGCGGGCCGCGGCGGGAAGCTCGGGGCGGGGGCGGCCACGGACCCCTGGCAGTGCGAGGGCCCTGGAGGGCCATCGCTTCCTCCTCCTCCATCTCCTTCGCCCCTCCTCCCCCTCCTCCCTCCTCCTCCTCCTCCTCCTCCTCCTCCTCCTCCTCCTCCTCCTCCTCCTCCTCCTCCTCCTCCTCCTCCCCCTCCTTCCTCCCTCCTCCCTCCCCCTCCTCATAACTCCCTCATCCCCCTCCCTTACTTCCAAAGCTGTGGGAGTGGAGAGAGGGAGGAGGGGATGGAGTTGAAGAAGCAGGAGGGCCCAGTGGGAGGGGGAGGCGGAGGAGGAGGCGGACGAGGGGGGAGCTTTGAGGTTCCAGAGATCCCACACAGTGGCCCAACCGACTTCACTGGCGAGCGCGATTTGGCTGCTAGGCTGGCCAACGCCCCACGGCACCGCACTCTAGATAGAGAGGGAAATGGGAGGATGAGGATGAGGAGGAGGCGGCGGCGGCGGCGAAGGTGGTGGACGAGGAGGAGGACGGCAAACTCAACACGCACTAACAATGTTGCAATGAACCCTCCCTTCAATCTCCCGCTTCGTGGGCCCCAGCAATAATTTATTTCATTGCGGGCTGTGCCCCATTGGAAGACAACCGTTCGAGAATCCTCAATCGTGGCATAAAACTTGTCCTGGCAACACCGCGAATGAACGTCACTGTTGTGCCTGAGAAATATCAAATCGCGCCGGAACGCCATTCATGGGACTTCAACACAACTAATCAACGTGATTGTCGCGTCCTGACAATTCTGAGCCGCGCCAAAACACCTTTCCTGGGACTTGAACCATACGAACCCTTAAAGTGGCTGTATTCTTTAATTTGCTCAAAACCATTGCGCGGCGTTAGAGCGAGAGCCACATGTTGAAAAGGGAGCCGCCCTCCATCAGCGAAGCTGTTGCAAACTTTTTAAAGCAGATGTGCTCGGTGCCCCAATGAAAACCACATGTATGTTGAAAACCGCCCCCTTTCCGTCCATAAGCAAATCCAGCATTTTAGTTAGCACGCCTTTCGCGGCACTGAAGCAAAAACCACATTGGAAAACGCCCCGCCCCCCATCCGTGAAGCTGTTGCAACATGTGACGAAGGCGCGCGGCGCTCGAGGGAGGGCCACCATCTGAAAACGCCCCGCCGCCCATCCGCGAAAGTGCCGCAAATTTCACGCTTCCGGATATTCTACATGGGGAGGAAATCTCGGGCGAAACGCCCGGCCCGCCCTACCGGCGTCTCCGGGGGGGGGGGGGGGAGGCGTTATTCATAAGGAAACGGGATGGAGGAGAAGGAGGAAGAAGAGGAGGAGGAGGCAAGGGGGGCGGAGGAGGACGAGGCGAAGGAGGAAGAGGAAGAGGAGGAAGAGGAGGCGAAAGGAGGAAGAGGAGGAGGAGGAGGAGGAGGAGGAGGAGGAGGAGGAAGAGGGGGAGAAGGAGGCGAACAAAGGAAGAGGACGAGGAGGCGAAGGAGGAAGGGGGAGGGAACAGAGCGGGCGGCCGCGGGCGATGGCATCTGACGGTGCGATTTTTTTCCACGCGCGGCCCCAGACTGGCAGCTGCCATGCGGACCGAGGGGCCACCTAAGCCACGCAGCGGGGGCACCACCCGAAGTAAACATGCGCCAAATACGAGGGGTGAAAAACACGCCCCGCCCAAGAACCCCTAGCCGAGGGTTCTTAGGTTCAGATTGGCCCCATGACCCACAAAGGGGACGGGAGGAAACCCCGCGACCGAAAAGAAAGTATTGTGATTTTCGAGAGTAGGGCGAACGAGGGGGACGCCACTCCTCCTCAGGACGAGGGGCGGCCACGCTGAGCCCAATCACAATTTTAGTCGTAAAACTTCACGATGATCCAAATGATGAAGCTCGTGGCGGCGTGGCGCCAGGCCTCCTGCAGAAACTGAAGCGCGCGAAGCATTTCCGAGACAGGGCGAACGCGATGATCGCGCGCAGGACAACGAAGTCCAGCGCCCAACACGCAAGCACAACACCAAAGACAAACGAGCGACAGACAGAGCAGACAGCGAGGTAACCCACAGGTTTCCCGATCGCGAGCCCCACCACTCCTGCTTAATTATCATACCAATCGTGACCCCGATCGCCCGAGCCTCTCCGTGGCGGTGGGCGTCTCTCCCACGGGTGCTCTCTCGGCACAGCGCCCCCCCTCGTGGCTCGGGGCCGCGGGCCCCCTGCGCGCGACCCCGTGCTGGGGGCGGGCGCACGCGCAGCCGCGGGCCCTCTGGCAGGCCCGGATGGGACGCCTCGATCCGCAACTGTCGGGCGCGGTCCGGGTCCACGAGCCTCGGAGCCGTGCCCTCTGTGCTGAGCTGGCTTTGGCGGCTTGCCAGAGACAGGCCCCATCGTGCGGCGAAACTGGCGCCTCGGCCCCATCCGGCTTACTCCTGCGCGCTGGCCTCGCAGGAACCAGGGAGGATGCTCTCCTCGTGTCCGCCGCGGCGCGGCGTCGAGAGCGGAGGCCCAAAGGCCAGCTTCAGCGCTCAACCGTCATTCTGAAACAGCCGAGCGCCTGCGTCCAAATGTCCGCAGACGTCAGGCAAAGAGGATGATACATTTTCGTGTTGGCACACGGGGGCATATGGAATCTAGGTGCAAAGCGGCAGCCCTAATTTGAAAAGGCCCAACCCATATCCCATGCGCACTGGTGGTCGCATTTGTTGAGGATGTATCCGGCGAAAATCGTATTTCGGAAACGTACCGGCCTCCATCCGTGTAACTGCTGGATGCGTTTACGACGAATGCGATTGGCGGTACTGCGGGAATCGCATTTTGAAATGGTACCGCACTCCAACGCGTTGCTGTTGGAAACTGCAGCTTCGGGAATACAGCATGTAAGGAAGACTCCAGCGAAACGCGCGGCCCGGCCTACGAATACGTCTTGTGGTACGACAGGGAGCTCGTATCCAGAAGGAGAAGGGATGGGGGAGGTGGAGGAGGGGAAAGGCGGAGGAGGAAGACGGGGGGGGTGAGCAGAAGGGAGAGGGGGAGGAACGCTGTCGCCCTTGTTCTTTCCTGCTACGCTCAGTAAAGCATATGTTCTTGGCCATTGCGCTCTGAAGAGAAAGCGGAGGCGGAGGAGGAGGGGGCAGGAGGAGGCGTCGGGAGGAGGCGGGGGAAGGAGGAGGAGGAAGAGGAACGTTTAGGAACGTTGAGTCTAACCAGAGGCCCAAGTAGACCACGCACCCCAGTCGGGAGAAACGAACACCACGCTGACACCGAAGGCCCAGCGTGGCCCCCGCTCCCCCCGCCATAGCTGCGCTGCCCTCCTGGGGACTGGTGCAAACTCGGGCTGGGTTCGGGAGTTTCCACAGCGGCCTCCGTCGCCTGCTGGCCGTGTGCGGCAGCTGCGAGGAGGGCTTCCTGGACACGGCGGGTGCCTCAAGGCGGACCTTCCCCACGAAGATGCAATCCCCCCCGGATTCGACTGACATTCTATTGACACCACGGTTCTCACCCCGACGCGGACGCCGAAGGAAGCGGGCATCGCCGCCCTTCGCGATGGAGGTATCGAACCCACACCGTGCACAGCAGGTGATGCAACGACTGGGGGCAGCATACAAGACGTGAGGGAGGTTGCGGTCCAGAGCTCCTCTCCCTCCTCTCTGCAACTCGCCGGCGGCCACGGGCACGGGCGCGCCGCCACGCGTCTCGGCCGTCGGCCCCTCTTCGTCGGCAGGGGGGCCTGAACGCGCGCGAGGTGGCCGCGAAACAGAGCAGCTGGCCCCGGCCGACCACGCACAGGCAACGAGTGCAGACCCATCGTTCAGATCCACACTGTTGTAGCTCGTGCGGCGAGGAGGCGCGCGCCACGGCGGCAGCAGAGCAAATGGGCCGACATGGCCCCAAACAGCGAGTTCCACGCAGCTGTTCCGCCTCAGCTGCGAGCTCAAGGGCCCTGCAGGCAAGCTTGCGGAAAGCGCGGGCCTCAGTGTCGACGACGTCGGTGCAAGGCTCAGCCCCCGCGAGCCCCAGCCGCCAGCAGGCCGCCGCCGTCGCGCTCGCGAGCGCATCGGCAGCAACGTTGCCCAGCGTCCGCTAGAGGTCCGACTCCGTCCTGAGCAGCCGCAGGTGATCCTCCTCGTCCGTGCGCGCGGGCACCCAAGCAACCTCGATCGTGCCGGGGGGCCTGCGGCGCCGCGCCGCTGGGCGGCCGCCGTCTGCATCTCCCAGCGCCGCCAGAGGGGCTCGTGGTCAGTCACGCACCTCGGGTTCCCTCCGACGGACCCCAGCGCCAGCGCGAAGCCGGGGACCTCCGCGCGCGGCACCGTCTCCCGTCTGCCAGGAACAGGCACAGCGCGGAGCCAACGCAACTCGGTCCACAGCCCCCCCTCGTCCTGGCCCACCACCGCGATATCGGTCTCGCAACGTCTGCGCCTCGCGTCGTCGGAATACTTCCCGCCCGAGCCATCGCCATAGACCACCGCGAAGCCGTCCTCGCGCCTCGTCGCCACCAGGGCGCCGTCCGCCCCGAGAGACACTGCGGCCTGCTCCGCCCTCTGGTCTCAGACGGCGAGGGTGGTCAAGCAGGAGGCAGGCGCACCTCGCAACCGCATGGCGGGTGATGCCTAATGCCCAGCGAGCGCCCGAGGTACTAGGGCAGCCGTGGACTCGAACACCTCGCCAACGTTCGCACGACAATGCCAGATCCTGTGCACCGGAGCCTCGACCGCACAGCCGCACTGCGCGCGGCCTGGCCCCCCTGCCCCAGCACGCAGCCAGCAGCAGCGCGACGGGATCTCGCCCGCTGGCCGCCAGAGACGACAGCGAGGGCGGGGCCCCGCTCAGCACGGCGAGCTTCGCGCTCCAGCTTCCTGAATTCGCGGCCGATGCGCAGGAAGTCCGCGCCGTCGACGAGGTCGCCCCCGCGCAGATGCGACGCCGCAGGCCGCCAGAGCTGGCGCCAGGTCCTCCTCGACGTCCTGAAGCGCCCCGCAGAAGTCGGCGCAAGCGTGGAAGCTGTCGTCGTCGGCGCCCGCCAGCCTCCACTCGCCCACGCCCTCGGCAGTCGGGCGCGCCCAGAAAGAGGCCGTGCGCGGATCCAAGCCAAGTCCAGCAACGTAGCCTGCAACGCGCTCACGGGTCCTCGAACCCGCCTCCAGCGCCATTTGCCAGCGCGTCGTAGAGCCCCGAGGGCCCTCGGCCAGGCGCGCCCGATGCGACCGTGCAGCGACGCGTCGGAGAACCAGAGACTGCACCGCGACGCCACCGGCTGCGCGCCCGAAGCGATGAAGGGGTCGTGCAACCCGACCGCGGCCGCCAGCACGGACGCGAGGCAGCGTCCGCGGGTAGCGCCGCCCACCGCATGACCGGCCCGTCGTCGCAGCTGCCGTGCCAGTCCAGGAGGCCGTAGACCGACTGCGGCAGCGCGCCCGTGTCCCATGACCCTCGGCACTCCCGTCGGTCTGGCGGTGGCCCGTCGCAGCTTCATCGCGCGCCTCCATCGGGCTCCAGCAGCAATGCGAGCCAAAGCCTTGGTGCGCAACCTGCGGCGTCCCGAGGCAGCGTCGATCCCCAAGTCCACCGCCCTTGTCGGCCGCCGAGTGTGGGCTGCCCATGGCCTCGAGACTGCCCGACAGGTTGGCTACCGGCACGCTATTGGACGCCACGAGCGCCGTCTTGACCGAGCACGTCCATGCCATCCTTGATCGCCACGGCCATGCAGGGGAGCTCCTTCTCACGCACTGATGAAGGCCTCGTCGTCGCCCGTCAGGCCGACCAAATTCCACGGCCACGTTCCACGCGGCGTCGCGCGCGGGGGCCGAACCCGCAAAGAGCCAGGCCTCATACTGCACAGAGTACTCAGGCAACTCACCACAGGTTGACTCCTTGGGCGATCTCTTCGCCGCCAACGCGATCAGCTCGTGCAGTGCAGGGTCTGCGTCCGAATGCGTCCTGCCCTCGACCAGGTTGGAGAGCGGCGCTGACTCCTGACGCTCGATGCCGCAATTTATCGCAGGCCGCGCCCACGGCCCGCGCCAGTGGCCCCGCGCCTAGCCACGGGCAGGCTGGGCTGCCTGGGGCCTCGCGCGCAGCCCAGCGCGTCCTCGCCCGCGGCGAAGAAGTCCTCGCCAGGCCCGCAGCCCCCGGGCCGCCACAGCTCGAGCGTCATCCTCAGCACGCGCGGCCGGCCAGCATCTCGGTGTCCGCGCTGGTTGGCCTCTCGCTGCGCGCTGCCGCCGTAGCCCCAGCCCTCGCGCCTGTCACAAGGAGAAGGGGCGTCGGAGCAGGGGCCGGCGCACTCGGCATCCGGCGCTACCAAGAGGACGGTGTTGGAGCAGCGCGCTGAGCCTCGGCACCCCCCTCCAGACTGGGAAAATGGCACGGTCATCTCACGTCGGTCGCTGCATCGCAGGCTGCGGCCAGCTGTCCGGCCCGGGACGTGGAACTTGGGGGCAGCGCCCTGCGGCCCCCCCAGGCCACGCCCGCCCCCCGCGCCCGCGGCCTCAAGCCCAGCCGCGGCGGGGCCCGGAGGGTTGGCCCCCGCAGCGCCGCGCGGCGCGTCCACGCCCTCGCCGAAGATGTCCTCGCCAGGGCCGCAGTCCTCCAGCGCCGCCGTCGCGCGGCCTGCGCGCGCGGCCACCTGCCTCGGACTGCGCGGCCGCGACGTCGGCCTGCAGGCGTGCCGCCAGCGCGTCGCGGCGCCGCGCCAGAGCGGCAGCGCGCCGCCTGCTGGCCTTAGACTCTGGGTCGGGCCGCTGGCTGGGCCTCGGCGGCGTCGGGGCCGCCAGCGGGGCGACCAGTCGCCGACGCGCCCAGCGCCGCCTCCAGCTCGACAAGGTCTTGAAGCAGGTGGCCTCCGCGCGGGGGGGCAGCGGCAGCTCGCCGCGCACCTTCTGCGGAAACCCCGCGCGCATGAGCTCCGCGGGCGTCGCGCTCCAGCCCGCCAGCGCGACCCGCGGGTCCGCCAGGCTGGCCAGGCAGGCGGCCTGCGACTGAAGACAGCGGCGGACGGCGCCGCCCACGGCGCAGCCAAGGAAAACATATGCAGCTTGAGATGCAGCGTCAGCGGCGCGAGCCCGTCGAGCCGCGCCTCTGGGAAACCGCTCTGGGCCGCGGAGGCCACGCGGTTGAAGGGGGGGGTCGCCATGTCGCTCCTGCCCGCGACCAGCTCGACAGCTCTCGCACCAGTGCTCGACTTCGCCGAGCCCGCAGCAGCGGCGCCAGACGCCCGCCAGCCCGAGCGGGCAGGTCGCACACTGCATCCATATCAGCTGACATCACTCCGCACTCATCGACACGCTCGCCGAAGTACTTCTCCGCCTGGGGCCCGAGCACCGAGGGGCCCTTGGGCCCGAGTCGAGGAGGTCCTCGGGCCTGCACCTCCCCGGGCGGCGGCTCCGGCACCAATGCCACCCCGCGCAGGTCAAACACAAGACTTCGACTTGATCTTGCTGGCGCCATCGGCTGCAGCAGGGCCAGCATACCCGGCAGCAGCGCCAGCCTGGGCGCGAGCCTTGGCCGCGAGCTGCTCGGCGCGGTCCCCGGCTGCCTTCTCGCGCGCGGCCCGGATGTGCGCAAAGTGCTGGGCCTTGCGCTCAGGGGGCGGCTTGGGCGCGGCTGCGTCCGCGACGAGTCGTCCGTCGCGGGGCCCGCGCCCACGTCGGCGCCGCCCGCGCCGCCCGCGCCACCCACCTCCGAGCCCGCGGGGGTCGGCGGCGCGGGCGCCTCGGCAGCGCGCGGGGTGGCGGCGGCCGCCGCCCAAGCGGGCGCAGCCTCGGCGTCGCCGCCCACCGCCGCACCTTCTGCTCCCCACGGCCTGCCTGAGCTTCGTCTCGGCCGGGGGGGCCAGCTGCGCGCGGGCGAGCCACGTGGCCTCCGCGCCCTGGATGTGCCTTATGCACCTCGACGAACTTAGCCTCCTCCTCCAGCCGAGCCCGCTCACGCAGTTTGGCGAGCTCGGCTGGCGCGTTGCAGGCCTTCTCCTGCTCATCCAGCAACGCGCGCCCGGCAGACTGGAGCGCCTCCACCGCTGCCAGGTAGTCCTCGTCGGCCTCCCCCATGTGGGCGAACAGAGACGGGTCGATGTTGAAGGAGAGGCGCTCGGGCAGCGCGTGCTCGGACGGGCCATTCTTCCCCGCCGCCGCGACAGCCGCCGCGTGCTCCGTCGTCGCCTGGAGGTGCTCCCCCGAGAGGACGTCAAGCCGCGCCTGGATATCCTGGACCCTGTGCTTCGCCGTCGCCAGCTCCCAGCAGCAGCGCTCGACCTTCTTGCCAATCTGTTCCTGCTTGACAGAGGCCGCCTTGAGCCGCTCCGCCGCCGCCAGCGAAGGGGGCTTGGCAGCATGCGTTGGCGGCGGTGGGCGACAGGCGAAGTGCTGCTAGAGCGGCGCCTCCACCGCCTGGCCAAGTGCCTTTGTCGTTGCCGACCATCTTCTGGATGCTCGGGAGCACCTGCTCCTGAGTCGACCACCGCGGCGGCGGCGACTGCTGCTGCTGCTTACGGCCGGGGAGCCCGATCCACCTGCCGCATTTGCAGCAATCCTTCTGCTTCCAGATGCCGTTGTTCCAATGCCAGTACCCGCAGGCGCTGCACACCATGTATCCCCCGCCGCCATGGGACCTGGTCATGGGTGCTCCTACAGGAGCTCACGCAAAAAATGCCAAGAGTAAACCCTCTGATTGCCGCGGACTACGCGGTATCCCCGCGTGGTGAGGATAACCCGCGCCACAAAGCACTTGAGCCAAACTGGCTGCGGAGAGGGAGGGGGGGAGGAAAAGGAGGAGGAGGAAGAAGAGGAGAAGGGAGAGGAGGAAGAAAAGGAGCAGGAGGAGGAGGAGAAAAAAGAGGAGGAGGAGGAGGAGGAGGAGGAGGAGAAGGAAGAGGAGGAGGAGGAGGAGCAGGAGGAGGAGGAGGACTCGGTCCTAAAGTTTGCCCAAGGGAGAAAAACGAGGAGGAGGAGGAAGAGGAGGAAGAGGAGGAGCAGTAGGAGTAGGAGTCAAGCTAGCCAGCTCGAGCGAGTCAAGCATGGCATGCCCAGTCCCACCCGCCCTCCCACAACATAAGAAGCAAAGCTGGCACATCTGGGGGCCGAAGACGACGACGACGACGACGACGACGATCACGACGACGACGACGACGACGACGACGACGACGACGACGACGACGATGACGACGACGAGGCCAACGAGGACGACGACGACGTCGACGACGACGACGACTTGAACGAAACAACTTGACCTGCGATGGATTCGTCCCCGCCTCGGGATGCGCTCAGGCAGCCGCGCCTCGCCGAGGGCGCTGCAGGGGTGCCAGAATCGTCCCGAACGGCCGTCAGAAGCCGGAGCTGAGGCCAGAAAATCACTCGAATGAGACGGGTCGGGAATCACAGCAGGTTCGTTTTTGGAGGCGTTCGTCACCCCTTAGCGACGACGACGACGACGACGACGACGACGACGACGAGGCCAACGAGGACGACGACGACGTCGACGACGACGACGACTTGAACGAAACAACCTGATCTGCGATGGAGTCGTCCCCTCCTCGGGATGCGCTCAGGCAGCCGCGCCTCGCCGAGGGCGATGCAGGGGTGCCAGAATCGTCCCGAACGGCCGTCAGAAGCCGGAGCTGAGGCCAGAAAACCACTCAATGAGACGGGCCGGGAATCACAGCAGGTTCGTTTTTTGGGGCGTTCGTCACCCCTTAGCCATCTGGAGCGCTCCCGCAGCCACGGCTGGGTCCGCCTCAGGAGGCCCCAGGAAGCTTCAGGAAGCCCTCAAGCGTCAGGAGACTCCAGGAGGGCCCATGAGGTCCCAGAAGGCCCCACGGGGCCTCAGGATGCCCCAGGAAGCCACAGGAGGCCCCAGGAGGCTCCAGGAAGCCCCAGGAGGCACCAGAACGCCTAAGGAGGCCCGAGGGGGCCCGAGAAGCCCCAGGAGGCCCCACGAAACACCAGGAGGCCCCAGGAGGCCCCAGGAGGCCCCACGGGGCCCCAGGCGCCCATGGGATTCATGGGAGTGCACAAGGAGGCGTCCAGGAGGCCCCAACTTTTTACTGTTTTTTTCTGATGGGAAGGTTTGGATGGGCGGGCGCGGGGTGTGCGCCGCGTCCCACCCCTGCCACGCATTTTTGTATTGGCTTTTGCAGATCAGGATGGGAGGGATTGGATGGGCGGGCGCGGGGTATGCGCCGCGTCCCATTCCTGCCCGCATTTTGCGACGTGGTCGACAGGACGTCCAAGCTGAGAGGAAAAACGATGATTTTGTATTGTATTTTGGAGGTTAGGATGGGACCCCCCTGGAAAACGCGCGCGGCGCCGAGGCGAGAGCGACATGTCACCCTTTGGCGCGGGATGTGCGCCGCGTCCCACTCCTGCCATGCATTTTGCGACGTGGACGACAGGACGTCCATGCGACGGTGCCAATGATGGCGACGACTCTAGAAGGATTTGAGCATGCGCTCGCGGCGACGCGCGCGCATGTCGCCCGCGTGGTGTTTTTTGCACAGGATTCGCGGCCTGGGTGCATGACAGAGCATCGCGAGTGCACCGCGCGGTGACGTGAAATCGCTGGATTTGACCGAATTCTTAAGATTCCCATGGTTTTCCTATAATTTCAACAAGACAGCCCGGGCAGGAAATTTGTAGAATTTTTGTGCAAGGGTTTTGATGTTTTTATGTCGAAATGCTTGCAAACAAAGAGAGGCCTCACGAGAAGGCCCCAGGAGGCCCCAAGGGACCCCATGCGCCCATACGATTCATGGGATTGCATTAGGAGGCGTCCAGAAGGCCCCAACTTGTATTGTTTTTTTTTTATAACGGGGGGGTTTGGATGGGCGGGCGCGGGGTGTGCGCCGCGTCCCATTCCTGCCATGCATTTTGCGACGTGGACGACAGGACGTCCATGCGACGGTGCCAATGACGGCGACGACTCTAGAAGGATTTGAGCATGCGCTCGCGGCGACGCGCGCGCATGTCGCCCGCGTGGTATTTTTTGCACAGGATTCGCGGCCTGGGTGCATGACAGAGCATCGCGAGTGCACCGCGCGATGACGCGAAATCGCTGGATTTGACCGAATTCTTAAGATTCCCATGGTTTTCCTATGATTTCAGCAAGAGAGCCCGGGCAGGAAATTTGTAGATTTTTTGTGAAAAAGCATTGGGTTTGTGATGTTGTTATGTTGAAATGCTTGCAAACACACGGTGTTCGGTAGGATTATGACATGAACGCGCGCGTGTGCTCTTTGTGGTATTTTTTGCAATGGATTATCGCAGTGGACGACAGGACGTCCATGTCGAGAGGAAAAAACAAGAAAAATGTTGATTTTGTACTGATTTTTACAGGTTAGGATGGGACCACCCGGATGGGGCCCCTATCTGCCGGCCTGAGGGGGGAGTAGGAGTATATTCTAATAAGGAATAAGGATAGGAGTAGGAAGAGGAGGAGGAGGAGGAGGAGGAGGAGGAGGAGGAGGAGGAGGAGGAAGGGGAGTGAGGAGGGGGAAGGTGGTGGGAGAGGCGGCCCCCCCCCCTGGATAAGCCGACTCTAAGCCTCACGCAGTCGAAGGTCGCAGGCCCCTCCCCCCGTCGGTCCTCCCCCGAAGCCGAGGCCGCCCTCCACCGCGGGCTTGGGCTTCTGGCCCGCCGGCGGCGGCGGCGCGGCCGCGCTCTGCTCCCCCGCCGCGGCCACGGGGCCGGCGCACGCGCTGGCCGCCTGCCCGGCGCGGGGGAGGGAGGAGGGGACGGAAGGGGGCGGGAGGGGGGAAGGGGAGGGGAGGAGAAGGGGAGGAGGGAGAGGAGGGGAGGGAGGAGGGGAGGGAGGAGGGGAGGGAGGAGGGGAGGGAGGAAGGGAGAGGAGGGGAGGGGAGGGGAGGGGATGGGAGGGGAGGAGGAGGAGGAGGAGGAGGAGGAGGAGGAGGAGGGAGGAAGAAAAGGAGGGGGAGGAGGAAGGGGAGGATGAGCTGTTCCGCAGGGATTTGTTTTGCCCTCGCCCCAGTCCGCCTTGAGCTCCATCGTCGCTGAATGACAGTACCCCTGTGTGTTAGGCTCCTGCGTCTTGGGAGGACAACGCCATGGCGTCTGGCAGTGCTTTCCAGTCGCTGGTCTGCTGCTGCCTCGGCTCTGTTCTTCACCCTTTGGTCTTTTCGCCGTTTTTCTCCATGTGTGCGTCGACCCTCTGGCGCGCCGACGGGCCGACAGACCGAGGAGGGGGGAGGAGGAAGAGGAGCAGCAGCAGGAGCAGGAAGGGGGAGGGAAGCGGAAGAGGAGGAGGAGGAAGAGGAGGGGGGAGGAGGAGGAGGAGGAGGAGGAGGAGGAGGAGGAGGAGGAGGAGGAGGAGGAGCAGGAGCAGGAGGAGGAGGAGGAGGAGGAGGAGGGGGAGGTGGAGCAGGAGGAGGAGGAGGAGGAGGAAGAGGAGGCAGATGAGGAGGAGAAAGGAGGAACTCCTCTCTCCACTGACCCAAATCTGGTCAGAATCCCCCCCCCAGACTCCTCCTGGGGTCCGTCCTAGCTTACGTTTTCGTCCCCCATCGAATCTTGGCAGTCCAGGGGCCCGAATCCGCCCCCCAGAGGTCGAAATCGATGAGAAACCTCGGTCGTCGACTCTCGATCCTGGACTCTCGATCCTCCTCGAACCTCGAACGTCGATCCTGGTCCTCCATCCTCGAACCTCGATCCTCAGGCCTCGATCCTCCTCGAGCGCGGGCCGACTAGCAAGACCGCGGCATAGACATACACTTCGTGAAATACGTGCGGATCTCTCGGGTCGGCGCTGGCGCCGCGGGGAGGGGGTCCCGTGCCGCCAGAAGAAAGCCGCGCGGACCTCCCGATGTTAATGCTTCTAGAATCGAACCTGGGACAGAAGAGCATCACTCAAGATCGCAAATCCCTCCGCCGGCCAAGAACACACAGAACATACAAGGGTACCCTCCCCAGAGAACCAAGTATCCAACGAACACGAAGAGCATCAGGGTACCCTCCCCGAATCGGCCTCGATCTTGTACAGTGAAAACGTGTAGTACGGACGGGTGGTAAGGACGCGAGGCCCTTGGACACCGAAGTTGGGATATGTTTGGGCGGCGGGCGACCAACACCCCAGTGGATACGGCAAAGGACGGGCCGCAGAGGCAAGGACACAAGGGTACCCTGGACAGTGCGCGCGTCCTTACATTTGCGCATTGACTATGCGCATTGGCCGTACCTCGGTCCGATTGTACAATACTGTCCCTGGCGCTTCGAAGAGGGGGCCATGAGGCATGCGGCCCCAGGGCGAGGGGGCCCTGGACGGTGCAAACTCAACTGGAAGCCCTTTCCTGGTCCTCGGGGCACCATCACTGCAGACCCCATCGGTGACTCCCTGGTATGCTCTTCCCTTGCTCCCGGATAGGTGAAGGCATAACGACACAAGCATAAACTTTCGAAAGTCCGCGCGGACCTCCGAGTGTTTATCTTTATGCTGTTATTTTAGGGAATCGAGCTCTGTATACACCGACGCTTTTCCCGACCCTGCGCCGAAATTCGCACAGGACCGCGGATTCTGGAGTATACGGGATCCTGGTGTATACATTTTTCGTCGCTTCCCCGGGACATTGGGGAAAAAGTGTACACCACACCACCCCAGCGTCGTCCTCGATCCTCCAAAAACATCCTGGGATTGAAAAACAGACCGCCACTGGTAATGTATGTGTTCCGGTTTCAGATACTTCTCCTTCTCGAGGGAGGATCGGGGGAAAGCCAGCTCAGAAAACGGCGAATCTCCCGCCCGGCCGACATCCACCCAAAATCCCAGACCCCCGACGTCATGATTTTTTCATGACGCGACCCACAGAGGTCCCGACCCCTTCCCCGGGACCGGTTTGTCATCCTGAGTCGTTTTTTGACGCTCCCGAAGCCCGGTGAGGGCCCCCAGAGGCCGAAAATGGCGAAAAACTTCCCGTCATGATCTTTTCATTACTCGAGGGGGTCTGGGATCAAGGATTGGTGAGTGGATGTTGGCCGGGCTGGAGTGATGGAGTCACTGCTCGGACCCCACCTGGGGTCCATCCCCACGCGCTCTCGAGGCGAATCCAGACGCGGCGACGACGAGCCTCCGGGAGGCCCCGACAGGACGACACGCGCCAGGCATGGCCGCCACATGCCGCCAGTCCCCGCCAGCCCCCCCTGCTCCGAGAGGCGGCGGCGCCGGCGTCGAGGAAGGGGCCCTGGGACACACAAATAAATACACACAAATAAAAAGATTCCCCATATTTTCCCATGTTTTTCTGGGTTTTTGTCTTCCCGCCCAATTCCCATATTTTCCCATATTTTCTGGTGAATCGGCGATTAATTGTGTCTGTGTGTTTTTTCCCCTCCTGAGTCGAGGAAAGCGCCCGGCGGCAGGGCCGAGACCCGCTGGAAGGCTGAACGAGGAACGGGGGGGGCCTCTCTGGCCGCGGCCACGAGCAGGTGCCCCGACCTAGACTCACGCTTAGTATCTGCCGAGATGTGCTTGCCAGTCCGCGGCCCCAAAGGGGCCCCGGCAGCTTCCCCAGGGGCACTTCTTTCTCGTCCCGGATCCATGCTCGATGGTACTTGGGCCCGAAAGCGGCCCCAGAGGGCCAACAGCGAAGAAAAAATCGAGGAGTGAAAAAATGAGCCCCGCGCGACCAGAATTCGGGGACTTCCACCCTTCCAGAGCAACTCGAGCAAGTCCTCAGCAATGTGAAGTGACGCATTGCTTGGGGGAGGAGGCGGAGGAGGAGGAGGGGGAGGAGGGGGAGGAGGAGGAGGAGGAGGAGGAGGAGGAGGAGGAGGAGGAGGAGGAGGAGGAGGAGGGGGAGGGAGAGGAGGAGGAGGCGGAGGAGGAGAAAAGAGGAGAAGGCGGAGGAGGAGGAGGAGGAGGAGGATTGTCAAGGCTGTCGTTTAAGGCGCGGGTAATGTTGTACCGCGTCGTGCCCTAACAATGGTGGCATGGAGTGTTCAATTCCAATTCCAATTCGAACATCAGAAAACACTGAACTATCTGCACCATAAGTAATGCTACGCTGCGTGGTGCAAAAAGTTTGATCTGCAATGTTCAATGTTCACAACCACATGCTGCTGCATCTCGCTCCCGCATGTTGGGCCCCACCTACAGGAACTGCATATCATGCCCGTGTGCAAAACATTCCCGCATGCTGGGCCCCACTCGATATGACCCAATAGCGTCCCTGTGTGCAAGACGTTCCCGCATGCTGGGTCCCACTTGAGGGGACCTAAGATCGTGCCCGTATACATGACGTTCCCGCATGCTGGGTCCCACTTCGTGGAACCTAAAATCGTGCCCGTATGCAAGACGCTCCCGCATGCTAGGTCGCTCTTAGTGGGACCTAAGATCGTGTCCGTTGGTACGTCGCTCCCGCATGCTGTCCCCGAACTTAATGGGGCCTGATATCGTGCCCGTATGCAAGATCCCGCATGCTGGGCCCCACTTCGTGGCACCTGAGATCATGCCCGTGCGCACGGCATTCCCGCATGGTGGGCCCCACTCAATGGGACCCAAGACTGTGCCAGTATGCGCGACGTTCCCGCACGCTTGGTCCCACATGATAAGACCTGAAATCGTGCCCATGTACACGACGCTCCGGGGCGACCATCCAGGTGGGGCCTGCGGCTCTCCCGTCCTGAGGGGTGGTCAGCAGTGGCACTTTCTGAGGTGGCCGGGCGTTGTAGTGGTCAGCCACCACGTGCTGGGGGTGTATACCCCTTCCATAAGCCCTCCATGACCAGCCCCCAAACTGGAGGTGTGAACGCCTCGCATAAGACCCCCCCCCACACTAAACCCCCCAAGGCGCGGTTCTCCCGACGCCTGTGAAGCACGGTCTCTGAGTGCCTTAGGACCGAGATTCTGCAATGGGAATTCCTCCACAAGGCCCGGGTCCTCTCCACGACTGTGAAGTACGATTATCTGCGCCAGCGCGTTCGCGCGCAGAAAACGACCACCCAGCTGTCAGCGCAGATCTTTTTGCTCGGGCCGCGCGGCGGCCAGTCTGCGGGTGCAGTCCCAGGGCCCTAGGACTAGGGCCAAACGGCGGCGGGCAGCGTGCACGCCACAAACATGAAAAGTATGTGCATCATGCTTACAATGGCGGCACGGGGCGGCAGAGGGGCAGGGGAGTGCCCTCTTCACACTGGGTGGGAACAATGCTGCCCCGATGCCGCCTCCTACAAGCGTGAAACGCTGCACGCGGTCACCGCCTCTACCGGCCCACAGGCCGGAACACCTCAAGCACAAGTGCGGCCTGAGGCTCAAAATATGAAATATGAATGTCCAGGCTCACTAATCCAGACTGTCATCTCGATGTGCGTGTGCACGTCACCGTAGCCATCACCAGGTCCATGCAGCGGCTGCGACAGGCCTCACGGGCTCGCAGGCCCTGAAACGGCGGCCCGACGCTGGGCCTTCCGCCCCTTGGCTCTCTCACGCTGTCCGCGGCGCAGCCGCAGACGGTGTGGTTCCTCATCCTCCTGTTCAGCAGTCGGCACCATGCTGAACAGTCCGTGGCGGAGGAACTGCAATAGCACCTCGTTAGGCTGCACGGCCTTCGTCAGCACGTCCGCCAGCATGTCGCTATTGGGCAGCCACTTGAACTTGATGGCATCCTGCTCGATCAAATCCTTGGCCACCAACAAGTCGATGAGGGTCTGCCGAAACACCGGCATCGAACCGATCTTGGACGTGTGATCGTAGAGCGACTT